CTGTATCTTTACAAACTGATGAAAACAAGTTAACAATATGTCAATAACAGTAACAAATGAAAACATAATCTTTTAGGTAATGTTGATGACTTCCTTCAAATCATAAATTAACACATCGTAATCGTTTAACCGAAATAGCATCCCAAAATTCTCCACAAGCACCATTAGAAGGGATCTTTTAAATTTCTCTTTCCAGATTTATTTTTATCAAAACATATTGAGATAATGACGGCATTTGGATTTGGTTCTACTTCTTTTTTTTATTGTTTAATTTTTTCACGCACAACAAATCATATTAAAGTCTACATGAGAGTCAGATAAAACTACTAAACTTACTTTCAACTTCCTTCCTTGGCTTATCTCTGCTTCCGCTTCTGGAAGAGATGCAAATGCATACCACGTCATGTCTCAATCTCAATTTCTCTCTTTGTCAGAACATCCATTGTTGGCTCATATATCGAGTTGTAAAGATTTCTACAATTCTCACAAGTTTCACTTAAATTAAGCCATCAAGTTTTTTTAAATCTGAATATTCAAGCAATGAAAGCCATTCTATTGTAATTCACTTTGACTCGTCTATATATATCAGAGATTTCAATTTTGCATCATATTAACAAAACCTTCTTGGAAACAATCATATACATCAGTTCATTGAAAAACCCATAAAGGCCACCAGACAGCATTTAGAATAAGTTTCCACCTTTTCGGCGGGTAAACTTTCTCCTTCTTACCAAGTTGGCCTTTTTGTTAGATTCAATAGGGAACCAATTTTAATCTGCTCTCAATCCCTGCTTTTCCAAAATAAGAAAAACAAATAAATGAAAAATGTGTCCAAAACAATACACTTTATTCAAAATGTAATACAATCATATTAACCTCTCTGTCGTGTGTGTGTGTGTGTGGTGAGAAGAGAGAGAGAGGAGAGAAAGAGAGAGAGGAGCAAAATAAGCAGAAAGCCAGACAGAACAGTTTTAGAAAACAACCTTACAGTTTCGGGTACACTTCCGCACGTTGGGCTGTACGGGGCAATGTAGGAAATGTACAAGCCTGAAAAATCAAGAAATTCAAAAATTTCCCAAAATCAATTTACAGAAACAGAGTCCAAAAAATAGCAAAAATTTCAAATGGGTATATTTGAAAACAAACACATAGGGATGCAACTTGCGGAAATGCTAAAAAAACAAAAAATCCCAAAATAAAGTAAACCCAAAAGGAAGTGGCGTTAATTCTGAAACTTATACCTTTCCGTCCCATCGAGATTGGCAGGTGGGTCTGAAAAGTAGAATCAAGAGCAGCGGAAGAACTTTTCTGCACACATCTGCGAGGACAGGCACAAACAAAATTTTGGAGCGAAAAAAGCACAGATATATCAAGCTTCTGTTCTGGTTTCCGGCAGAGGCACTAGTGGAGGAGGAGGAGAAAGTGTAGGGTTTGATAAGAAGAGAGATGAGTCGTCGCAGATATCGGCGATCCTGTCGTAGGATTTGGAACCATTGCGTCGGTGGAACGCTCCACGGTTAGATTCGGCCTAGGATTCAAATCTGATTTAGATTTCGACGATCTTCTCGATTCCGGCAGAGGCACTAGTGGAGGAGGAGGATCATCGACGGCGGTGGGTTTAGAAAGAGAGAGAGAGAGAGAGAGAGGCACCAGCGGAGGACAGAGGAGGATCATCGATGGCAGTGGAGATCTACGGCGGTGGCCGTGGCGATCTGTGCCGGTGGTGGTGGTCTGCGGTGAGGTGAGGCTTGGTGGTGAAGGAGAATCTGTGTGAGAGGTTTGAACAAATGGTTGTAAACAGAGAACAAGAACAGGGGCGGTGATATATATCCCACTAAAAAAACATTTCACCTTTAGCGACTAAATTTGTTTTTTGTCGCAGAATCTTAACATATAACGACTAAAATTTGGTCGGCCATTGTCTATCAGTGCATTTAGATATTAAAACGACGTCGTTTTGATATCTGCGACTAAATTGTGTTAGTCGCTAAAAGATTTTACTGTTCCCGCCCAATTTTTCACCTCCTGACATCATTTTTAGCGACTAATATTTTAA